GTGTAGGGTTGGCTCTGATCACACACATAGAAAACTACCTTTTCATCCCCCACTAGGAAAGTGAGCTCATCGGCTTCCACATCAACAAGAGCCCTCCCCGTAGCAAGGAAAGGTCAACCCAAGATAATCAGCACCTCATAGTCCACTTCACAATCAAGAATCACAAAGTCCGCCGGGAGGATGGATTTATCAACACGAACTAACACATCATCAATAATGCCCAACGATCTTTTCATGGTACGATCTGCCATTTGCCACCTCATGGACGTGGGTCTTGGTTGCCCAATCCCCTAGGTTTTGAAAACCGAGTAGGGCATCAAGTTGATACTTGCCCCAAGATCATATAAAGCTTTAGCAAAGTCGGTACAAGGGATAGTGAAAGCGCCGGGATCTTCCAATTTAGGAGCCATTGAGTGCACAATTGCACTCACTTGATGAGTCATCTTTATAGTTTCACAACTCATCGACCTCTACTTTGTCACCAATTCTTTCATGAACTTTGCATAACCCAACATTTTCTCCAAAGCCTCAACCAATGGCACATTTATAGATAGACTCTTCATCATGTCAATGAACTTTTTAAATTGGTTCTCGCCATTTTGCTTGGCAAGACTTTGAGGGTATGGAAGAGGAGGCCTTGGCATTAGTGCCTTAGCCTTTGGCACAACTGGCTTAGGTATGTCAACAATGTGCTCCCTAGGCGGGTTCACTTCCTCATGAGTCTCCTCCACGTTGTCATCAATATCAATTCTCACCTCATCATTTGCTTGCACTTCATTTTCTTGGATCTCATCTTGTTGTGCCATTTGCTCATCATCTACAAGTTTCTTTTGACTTGAGGTTGTTGCATCCCCACCTTTTCCACTCCTTGTAGTAACAGCCATGGCATGTCCCGTGTTGTTCCCACCCTTTAGGTTCACCACCGTATCACTTGGTAGTGCCCCCTTAGGACGAGTGTTCAAAGCTTGCGAGATTTGCCCAAATTGAACTTCCAAATTGCAAATTGAAGTGTTGTGAGAGGCTAATTGAGCATCGGAGTCGGTATTCTTCTCTATCATTTGTTTAAACATGTTCTCTATTCGGCCCATCTCATTGTTGGAAGAACTCGGACCTTGGGAAGGATAGGGAGGTGGGTTGCTCGGTTGTTGATACATCAGAGGACTTTGAAAACCCAACCCCCGATTGTTGTTGTTGTTCCACCCTCCTTGGTTGTTGCCTCCCAACTAGCCTTGGTTATTTTGACCATTCCAATTTCCTTGGTTGCTTTGATTGTTCCATTCCCTTGGTTGTTTTGATTGTTCCAACTACCTTGATTGTTTGAATTCCAATTTCCTTGATTTCTTTGTGGTTGCCATTGTTATTGATTCGGGCCTTGATTGTTGTTTCTTGCCCTTGGAAGTTGTTCACACATTTTACCTTCTCTTTTTGTTCATTGTATTGTTCATCTTGATCAAACCCACTATCATCTTGCACATAATTTTAACACGATTTTTCACTTGAGGACCCTTTTGCCTTCTCTTGTTTACCATCATACTAACTCCCTTCATTGCATTGACTTGCTTAGGACCTTGCACTTTTTGAAGTTGAGCTTTTTCTAGTTGATTCATTGTGTTGGTCAACTCGGCAATTGCTTGCCCATGACCATGTAATTCTTTATGCAAGTGAATCACATTTGGATCATCTTGAGGAACGTTTGCTCTACTTTTCCATACCGATGAAGTATCCGTCATTTCATCAAGAATCTCACAAGCTTCCGCATACGGTGTTGTCATGAAATTTCCATCGTCAAGTTGGTTCACCATGCATTGTTTGGTTGTATTGATCCCCCTATAGAATGTTTGTTGAATCATAGCCTCCATCATGTCATTGTTCGGGCACTCTTTCACCATGGTACGGTACCTCTCCCATATGTCATGCAAAGGCTCATTGGGTTCTTGTTTGAAAGCTAGAATCTCATCCCTAAGAGTTGTCATATGCCCGGGAGAAAAGAACTTGGAAATGAACCCTTTAATTGGGTTGATCAATTTCTCAATTGACCCTATTCCTTGTTAGCTAGGTTGACCGAGACTAGGTCTCTCTTTCTCAAGAAGAGACTAAGTCAAAAAGGCATAAATAATTATTTGCAACCATTAATTCACTAATAAAGCACTAACCTAGCTAAATAACAAACACCCATTCATAAACAAGCATAAAATTAATCAGCCATAAGGTTTACACACTAGGGTTGGGTCACAACCCTAGCTAAGAATCTAGCTACTCATAATGGGTAATGAAGAAAATAGAGAAGAAAAGATGATAAAACTCATATTCAAAGATTAAAAGACAAAACTCTAATGTTTAATCACTAATGTAAGCTAAAGTTGCCTAAAAGGGTAAGAATAAATGGTTACAAGTCTTTAGAAATTCAATACTTGACCTAATTTCGTAAAAGAAGTCTATTTATACATAGCTGGAAATTTCGGACAAAAATGCCCCTTCGTATGCACAATTTCATGTGTGTTCCGCACTTCTTCTTAAGTCATGGCAGGAGCTTGGTCTGCGGCCGCATAACTATGGATTGCGGCTGCATGTCACTTTGCACAAAACGGAGTGCGACCATAAAGGCCCTTTCTGCGGACCATACAAATCTGTGTGCGCCGCATGGCTAAATTCTATGGTGGCACAATAATTGTGCGTTGCGCATATCCGCATATTCTCTGACCTCTCGGTCAGAGAATGATTTTGCCCAATTTGACTTTCTCAAGAGGTATCTACCGAAACATTTGATAAGAGCTCAAGTCGGGTAGTTACTATCTCTAGGTTGAACCCTTTAATTGGGTTGATCAATTTCTCAATTGACGAAATTCCTTATTAGCTAGGTTGACCTAGACTTGGTCTCTCTTTCTCAAGAAGAGACTAAGTCAAAAAGGCATAAATCAATATTTGCAACTATTAATTCACAAATAAAGCATGAACCTAGCTAAATAACAAACACCCATTCATAAACAAGCATAAAATTAATCACACATAAGGTTTACACACTAGGGTTGGGTCACAACCCTAGCTAAGAATCTAGCTACTCATAATGGGGAATGAAGAAAATAGAGAAGAAAAGATGATAGAACTCATATTAAAAGATTAAAAGATAAAAATCTAATGTTTAATCACTAATGTAAGCTAAAGTTACCTAAAAGGGTAAGAAGAAAATGCTACAGATGTTCAGATATTCAAAACTTGACCTAATTTCGTGAAAGAAGTCTATTTATGCACAACTGGAAATTTCGGACAAAAATGCCCTTTCGGAGGTTCTGCGGCCGCACAATTCCATGACCGGTCCGCACTTCTTCTTTAGTCTTGGCAGGAGTTTGGTCTGCGGCCTCATAGTTCTAGATTGCGGCCGCATGTCACCTGTTCTGCGGTCCGCACAAAACGGAGTGCGACCGCACAGGCCCTTTCTGCGGACCGTACAAATCTGTGTGCGGTCGCATGGCTAATTCTGCGGCCACACAATAATTGTGCGGTCCGCATATCCTTGAAGCTTGAAGTGGGACTTCTCCGAACTTGAACTCTTTGGTGGCTTCTGTGGTCGCACAATAACTGTGCGGTCCGCACATTACACTAGACCTCTGACAGGCTTCACTTCACCTTATGCGTCCGTAGAGAGAATTCTGCGGTCTGCATATTATTCCTTTTGCCTGCTTTTTGTTCTTGAGTTCATTTTACTCCTTTTGAGTTGAATTTCATCTTTTTGGCTCATTTTCCAATTCTCCTACATTTAAGCATATTTCATCAGTTTTCGGGAATAGAATTAAGCTCTTTTGGACTAAAACGAAAGTAAAAAAGCGGTAATAAGTAGTCAAAATCCCAACTTACCAGCTGCCAGGATCACTTCTAGGCATATTATTGAAGCAAACAAATAACCAGATTGTGTTATCACTTTTAGCTCGTGTCAGAAACTATTTACATTTGGTAGCCGAAATAGTATATAAAATTTGTATAATTTTTGTATATTAACATACAAAATATATACTTATATACAAAAAGAAATACAAATTTTATATTTTTCGGCTATTATTTTTACAGCGGCTATACAATATCATTTTCTCATTGAAAACTGGCACAGAAGAGATATTTTCAAGTTCAAAATTTTAGAAGACATTATCTAAAAATGAGGAATTAAAGTGATAATTTGCGTTATCCAATAAAAGTAGAGGAAACGTTTTGCTTTAGAGCAAAAGATTTGCTTCATGAATTAGAGTTGGGTAACATCATTAGTTTTTGAACACATTTTGTCAGTAAGACTAAATGTGCTCCACTTTAGCATATTTAAGAGGCTAAATATGCTCAGGGTTATATATGAGGGACAAAAATAGACATACCCTCAAATATAAGGGACAATATTGGTTAAAAACTCTTGTTAGCTTGACATAAGTTTAAATGAAAAGTATGATTAATAAAGATCTATACAGGAAAAATTCTAATACATTTTATTTAAGATTCACACATAATTGTTGATGTTGTTGTTGTCTTATAGTAGTTTTTTTGTGTTAAATTATTTTTATTGATATCTCCCGAATAAATTTTCCAAAAGATCCATACATAGTTTTTGTTGTTATTGTAAATTTTTGTTACTTTCATAACTTTGTTCACAAAGTAAGAATTTAATCGTTTTAATCACCTTTTTTTCTTTCTACTCCAAAAAAAGAAAGGTTATGCAAGTTAAGTACTTATGTAAGCCTATATATGTTAATTATACCTACTTAAACATAAAAGCTTACGCAAGAGATATGAAAATGTACTTGAGTACTTTAACAAGTCTTTTCGGATTCATATTCAAAAACACTATAGCTAACCTTCTTTACTTACTCATACTCCCACATATCCCAATGCAGTAAAGCTCTTTTTGCTTCTCACCATTTCAACTTCCAAAGCTTTCCATAATCATAAATCCTATGGTATTTGTTGTCTTGTCTTGAGGCAAACAAAGAAAAAGAAAGAAGTAGTAGAGAAAGTGTAAAGCCATGAGTCCCATAACTAGAGCTAAGAAAGTTAAACAGGAGAAAGAAAAAAGAGATCAACAACTAAGTAGAATCGATGCTTTATCACAAAGGCTAAATAATCTTGTTAGTTTCAATGAGCTCACAGACTTCACTCACCAATCTGATTCACTTCGTAGGAGTGTTCGGTCACAGTACTCTGTGATTAGAACCATCATCGATGGTATTTCTAACTTTTTTTTGCTACATATTGATTCTACAATTTTAAGGCTCTTTTTATTTGTTGATGATTTCTTTTACTTTTTTGGTTTTTTGGGGTTTCTTGAAATGCAGAGAAGAGAGATGAAATAGGAGCTGCAGAGTCAAATAAGTTCAACATTGTCTTGACTGGCGTTGACGACTTGTATCGCAATGGTATATATATGCTTCACTTTATTTGCTCCCTTTTTTGTGTGTGTGTACGCGCGCGCCGCAATGGTATATATGCTTCAGTTTATTGGCTCCCTTGTGTGTGTGTGCCGCAATGGTATATGTGCTTCACTTATTAGCTCCCCTGTGTGTGTGTATCCCAATGATATATATGCTTCACTTTATTAGCTCCCCTGTGTGTGTGTCACAATGGTATATTTGCTTCACTTTATTAGCTCCCTTTTTTTTTTGTGTGTGTACGCGCGCGTCGCAATGGTATATATGCTTCAGTTTATTGGCTCCCTTGTGTGTGTGCGCGCGTGCTGCAATGGTATATGTGCTTCACTTTATTAGCTCCCCTGTGTGTGTTTGTCGCAATGGTATATATGCTTCACTTTATTAGCTCCCCTCTGTGTGTGTGTGTCACAATGGTATATGTGCTTCACTTTATTAGCTCCCTTGTGTATGTGTGTATCGCAATGGTATATATGCTTCAATTTATTAGCTCCCTTGTGTTTTTGTGTGTGTGTATCGCAATGGTATATATGCTTCATTTATTAGCTCCCTTGTGTGTGTGTGTATCGCAATGGTATATATGCTTCACTTTATTAGCTCCCTTGTGTGTGTGTGTGTGTGTGTATCGCAATGGAATGTGTGCTTCACTTTATGAGCTCCCTTGTGTGTGTGTCTGTAAATTGTTCATCTGCCACAAATGAGTAAGAAATAAGTCATATTATCCGGGGTAAAACTGTAGAAACACACACACACACACACATTCTATAAATACACATACACATTAGGTTGATGTCGTTTAAAAATAATACTGAGCTCCACTTTACCAATTAACCAGGGGCGGAGCTGAGCTGAATGTTGACAAGGGGTTCAATTGAAACCCTTTGCGGAAAAATTATACTATTCAAATAGGTATAAATGAATTCCTTGTGTCACATATAAACCGTTGAATCCACATGACACGAGGGAATGTTCTAGTGTAGTGGCAAAGGGAGTTTTAAAAATAGCTTTAGGTCATATCTTCAAATTAATCCAAGTGTGACATTCTAGTATTTTCTTGAATCCCCTTATATTCTTGACTCCACAACTCCGCTAATTATGCCTTCCTAAACTATAAATGTGATTTTATAATGTGTACATGGTTTTTCAGTTAAAAGGCCAAGAGAGCAAGTGTCAGATGCAGAGGCCTTGCTCGGACTTACCAATACTGTGGTGGAATCTCTCGCACTACGTTCCCATGATAGTATCTCACCTTCTATGTTCATATCCTGTTTGCTTAAATCCTATGGCTTACAAAAAGGACGTTCGAAGAAGGCAACACAAAGTTTGATATTTGGGAAATCACAAAAAGCTGTGAATTGGGAAAAGATTGGCGTTGATGTTTCACTTGTGTTTATGGAAGGCAAAGGTTGCAAGACGATGTAAGATTTTTCGTTCATTTAACACAGAAGAAGAGAGCAAAGAAAATGTGAATTTGGTTAATTTGTGATTGCTTTTTGCTCTTTCTCAGGCTTGGAGTTCTGAAAACTGAATTTAAGCCGAGGAAACTTGTAGTTTATATTGGAGATCAGAAGCCTGAAGTTTATGATTCGTATCCAAACACGATTGCAGTTTATAGAAAAACGCCTCCGAAGAAGGTCTACCTTACTCAACCAAAATTGGTATTGGTCGTTTCCGCCACTTTTAATTATCTTTACTCAAAGAACTTGAGTTATACAGTCAGACTTCTATATAACAACATCCTTATATAACAGCGCTTCACTATAAAAGGCAAGCTTTTTCGGAACTAATTTTTATGTTATGTTATAATATATATTCTCTATAACAACACTTCGCTATAACATCCAAAAATATTTGGAACAAACAAGGTTGTTATAGAGAGGTTTGACTGAATTAAGGAAAAGGAAGAATGTCACAAGAACTTGAGTTTTACTTTGTTTGGTTGGTAAATAATTTATCATTTGCTGAGTCTTTATAACAGGTTACTTCTGAAACTGCCGAAGACAAACCTGATGTTAACAAGAATATGTCAATCATATCGGAGCTTTTAAAGGAGAAGAAATGTGTCATGCTTGACGAACTCCTTTTTAGGAGAACTTCCTTTGCTCATACTGTTGAGAATTTATTTGCACTTTCCTTTTTAGTACACAATGGGGAGGCTGCTATTTCCGCTGATGAAACTGGTTCTCGTTTTCTTTGCGAGATAGGTAATCACTCTGCTATTCTTTATGAGATACTCTATTAAGACATTAGACCAAATGCACATCATCTGTTCATTTGTAATTTTCTGTGATTCCTTTTGTATCTGTAATATGAGTATATGATGAATTGATTCTCCAGTTCCACGGAGCAGTGCACGTTTTGAAGTTGCACGCCACCAGTTTATCCTGAGATATGATTACAATGATTGGAAGGTACACTAGCACAAATTCAAGAACATAAATATTTGTATTTCTGTCGAAGGGGAGCCTTGTAATAAAGTTGTTGCCATGTGACCAGGAGGTCACGGGTTCGAGCCGTGGAAACAGCATCTTGCAAAAATGCAGGGTAAGGCTGCGTGCAATAGTCCCTTGTGGTCCGGCCCTTCTCCGGACCCTGCGCATAGCGGGAGCTTAGTGCACCTGGCTGCCCTTTGCCCTTTTTTAATCTATATTTCTGTCGACCTTGTTCCTTCACTTGTATGTTGACCATTTTAAACTGCTCTCAGTTGATGCAAGATTTAGTGCCAGAAGTAGAAGATCTGATACCAAATAGGGCTGCCTCAGGCTTTAAGCAATGAGGACTTGTTCTAATATCATCTCCGACTATGTCTGAAGAAAAAACTGCTATGGAGTAAATGTCAAGCGATGTGTATAATCTAGCTCTGTTAATAGGTAAATGGTCTGTTTATTTGTGTATAATCAAGCTCTAAAAAACTGATCAGTATCTCTTTTGGGTAAACTGTATGTTACATGTGTATATTTGAAGCTGTATAAGCTGATCCACATGATCTTTTGGGCAAATGGCCTGTTTATAGCTGTGTAAGCTAATTAGCATCTCTTTTGGTTAAATGGCTTGTTTATATGCATATATTGTTTGTTGTGTAAAGTCATTTGTGCATTTTTCTATAGATTTCTAAGCAAACAATGCCTATTAATTTTGACAGTCTTTTAGGACTCTCCCGGATAATACTCTTTAATCTCGAGCAATTAATGCAAACTCTTTCACCACCACGTGGTGTGGTGGGGGATTTGGATACCACTATCCTTAATCAGAGATATCGACTTCAATCGTCTATGGGGTTACCCCTCCTATTTGTGAACGACTCTTTTATGTTAGTCACTTTTTTGCACCATACCCTTCATTGCCACGTTATGATTCATCCGAGTGGGGTTGGTTAAGAGGAGCTCTATCTAATGTAGTCAGACTGGTGTGCTAAATAAGGTCGTCCACCACATTGTAGATGCTCATGTTGTGCATCATCTATTCTCAGCCATTCCTCACTACCATGCAGCGGAGGCTAGCTAGCAAAGCTAATAAGCCATTATTAGGAGAATATTACCAATTTAATGGTAGCCCAATTCATAAGGCAATATGGAGGGAATTTAAGGAGTGCATTTATATGGTGTTGCTGCCATGTTAAATCCTACCATAAAATTAAGAGGTCCTCATTTTTGGTACACAAATATTTATAAGGCTTTATCACTTTCAGATGAAGAATTTGCTACACTTACAGATGCAAAAACCTCAATTAAAATAAATGCTCAAACAAGTTATAATGCTTATCAACTTGCCTTAGATCATGCTAGACCAAATGTTCCAACTCCTACTTCGTCTAGTTCGCAATCTAAAAGAACTGCGGGCCTAAAAGCACTTAGTTCTTGGACGGAGTTCAGGGGTTCTCAAGGTGATAATATTGGTGATAGTTCACAACTAAATGAGCTTCAAGTTTATTTGTCGCAGGGACTTGAATCAGAGAATCCCGACGACTCCTTTGATGTTTTGGAATGGTTGAAGGACAAAGAAAAAGACTATCCGGTTCTTTCAAGGATGGCTCGAGATATTTTAAGTATTCAAGCTTCAACAGTGGCATCGAAGAGCTCTTTCAGTCAAGCGAGACTTCAAATCGGTGATCATAGAGCGTCTATGAGGGAGAGCTTGGAAAAATCAGTACTCTTCAGAGATTGGATCCGTTCGAAAAGAAGAAAATTTGGACTTGCTGAATCACAACCGGAGATAGAAGAAGCTTATGAAGAAATGCTAGCGGAACTTGCGGAGGATGCTGCTTCGCCCGGAAGCGCTGATGAACAAGCTTCTTTTCCGCCACCACCAACGGAAATTCCTCGGAACCTTGAAGGATTTATGATATTTGTTAGAGATAATATGTAGACAAATATGTAACTTGTATTTTGGCACATCTTCATTAGTTTTTATTCCTTTTAATGGTAGTATTAGCACCTTGTTGTGCTCATTCTATTGGGGAGAGGAAGACTAAGAAAGATATTGCCATTTTTTGTTAATGTCGTAGTAATAAAAATTATAAGGCATTCCCTTGAATATTTCTTTACAATTTTTTTGTGTTTAAATTTGAATTAGAAGATTTAAGTTACAATTATATAATATAATTTACAAGAAATTGCCTTAGATAAAAAAAATTTAAAAAAAAAAGAAGCCCGGAACACTTAGGCCCGTGGGCCCGGCCCATTTAGCTCGGGTCCATGTGGGCTTAGGCCCACAGTGGGCCGGTTCCACCCTCCAGGACCGTTAAGCCCGGGACCGTTTGGCCCGGGACTGGCCCGCCAGAGCCCGGGCCCGTTTGGCCCGGCCCGTTTAGCCCATTTAGGCCCGGGACCGGACCACAATACAGCCTTATATGTGGAGAAAGATGAAGGATCTCAAGACAAGGATGTTTTCTGGTATAAAAACAAGTTTTGAAAGTTGAACATCAATAACTACTTACCTACAAATTAGTTAAGTGTCTGATAGTCGTGGTAAGTGTTTAACCAAAAAATGTATCTTTCGGTCAAAGCTTATTTTTGGAAGAACTCGGGTTACTGATAACCAAGAAATTTCGTACTTTCTCAATTATATGAAAGGAAAAGACAAAAATAAGTAAAGAAATAACTGATTGCAAAGTCAAGATAGCAGAAAAGTAAAGTGAATATATTCCAGTATTGTCTCAGATCTCCTTACAAATGAAATTCTCTTCCCTTTATAGGAATTTACAAGTATAAAGTTTCCTCCCTTTTATGGCCGAATCATTACGACATTAATGACCTGTTATGATTGGCAATCATAACTGTTTATGGAGATTCTGTAACGGTTCCAATTCTCCTTCCTCATTAATTAAAGGTTCGTGAATCTTCCCCTTCTTACTGTCTTGATTCATTCAGCCCATATTTACTGAATGATTTAGACTCGAGCAATCACATCCTTTCATCTCGTGAGTGATTTGCTCGTACCACTTGTATCTCGTGCATCTCCTAACCAAATATTTCAACTATCACCTTCTTAGTGATCCACGTATCATGCCTCGTGAGCCACACATAATTCCACATGTCATATTTATTTTCTTCTAATACAGATAGTCCCCCCACTTGCCGAATATTCTGCAATTGAATATTTGGGAAGTGGTATGTATTTATGGCGGGAATTTTTACCGCCGTTTCCCATGTATCATTACGTCTTCTTTAGAACCAACGTGTCGTACGTCACTTCCATTTAATGCATGTACCACGTGGCCTCTGTTGATTGGGTCTGCAACTCATCAGTGGTTTTTAGCGCTTTTTTGCGGCTGCGTCACTCACGAAGTGACTGTTTCATTATGACGTCTCCATCATGACTCATTTTGCATGACGGTTGCTTCTGCTTATAAATACCTCATGTGCCTTTAGTTTCACGAAAACCTTCAATCTACAGTACTCTTCTTCTCTAATTGTTCTTGTTCTTTAGTACTTATTATTTTCTTGCATCCATGTCTTCAGTAAACCCCAATCCTCGCAGAACAATAATTGTATATGAGCTTCCCCCTTCAACTGCTCCTGTTAGGATTAGAAGAGGCAGTAGGTTACGTATCTTAGGGTCTTTATCTGTTCGTGGTTTTTCTTCTCAACCCAACGTTGTTACACCTTCTTCGCTAACTAATAAGATAGAAGGAGCCTTTCTTGCTTGTTTAGTAAAGTCAAGCTTTGGCGGTAGGGTTGGGGTGGCTTGCTGGGGCACGAGTGCCCTTACTAGTTTTGGGGCTTTGATTGGCGAAAGCTATTTTCGCCTTCTAGCCAGTAGTTGCCAGATTAGCCTTCGGACTTTCCTTACCCGCCTTTATTGAGAAAGAAGAGATCTAAAGGTTGGACATCCATCGTTGTCGTGATGACGCGGTTGAATATTCATTCGATCCAACACCCGGCCGATCAAACCTATCCTTGGGTTCGATCAATGATGGTTCATTAATGTCCATTGATTTAGACTCCTTCCACCTTCTCAACTAGAACTAGGGCTTCTTCAACGCACAGGTCTTCTTCCAGAAATAGGGAATCAAATGAGCCCTTCGAGAACCAATAGTTAATGATATTATTCCCGTGGAATTTTCTTTCTCCACTTATGGTGAATCAATTAGAAACCAAGTTATTTCTATGACTTCTCATGATCATGCCAATGTCTATCCTTTTCAGATTACTGATGGTTTGATTTCTCTTGTACGAAGAGAATGCTACTGGAAATCTGATTTTCCAATTTTAATTCCTGGTCCAAACCAAAGGATAATTTCGTACCTAGCTGGTTGATCTTTCGTTTTACACATATCCTTTCACTTCAGGTTTCAGACCCCTTATTGACCCAGTTACCATAGAATTTTGTCGCTTCTATAATGTTTTCTTAGGATAGATTTGTCCTATTGTATGGAGAGTTGTTGCATGTTTACGATATCTATCTAATTTGATCTCTTTACCTTTTACCTCTCAACACTTGGTTCATCCCTAAGTTGTTCCGCTCAGGGGTTTTCACTCTCGCTGCTAGGAGCAAAAGGGTTTTGGTTAGCCCTGAAGATGATAAGGACCGTGGCTGGTATTCCCATTTCGTTGCTGCCCCCACAAGTGGTTTAGTGCGTGAAGAGAACATACCTTTTCCAGAGAAGTGGAATTTTGCACGTAAGTTTTTTTTATATCTTTCTTCTTTTATGAGGGAGGACAAAAAACCGACGATCTCATGGATTTTTTCTCTTTTTAGCAACCATGGAAGTTTTTGATGAAATTCCAAACTTCCGTGTTTGGGTAGAGAAGATGTTATCGGCTGCTCCCATGGAAAGAAGATCCTGGAAATACCTTTCTCATAGGTTTGGCTGGAAAGTCAAAACTCATGGCATCCTTTCCTCTAATTTTCTTCCTTTCTTTCATATTTACTTGGGGATTTATAACTTTTTCCTTTGCTAAGATTTCCCATTCGAGGTGTCAGTGCCGCGTCTATTACTTCATCAACACTTTCTTTGTCTCTCGATCAAGAAATAATTTTGAATTCCTCATCAAAGAGAAAAGCCGAGAGAGCTCATGGCTCTAAAGGTGAAGAGGAACGAGAAGAGGGTTCTTTAGTGCGCAAGCCTCGGGCTAGGAGGCGCGTTATTTTAGATGATGAAGTCACCCCTCCTCCAAGTCCAGTTCCTATGAATGAGCCTGAAAATGTCATTTTAACGAGCTCTGATGAAGAGATGAATGCTGCACCTCATGATTCTACTGATCAATTGTTTTCCCGTGGATTTGATAATGAAGATTTTGACCTTGTTTCTGAAGAAGAACCTCTTTCCTCCTTTCCAGTGTCTGCTCCTACTGGTTCACAAGTTTTTTCTCTTGTCGTTGCTGCTACTGCTCCTCCCGTGGCTGTTTTTACATCCTCGAATGTCCCTACTGCTACCATTTCACGTGTTGAAGTTGGTTCTTCCAGTAGCAATAGGATGATGAAAAAATTTACCATTGAAGTCCCCGAGGATGGTAATCTTTTAAAAAAATATGGCCAAGCCGATGTATGGC